CACAATCAGTTCAGGTTGTAAGAGCAGTTTTGCACCGAAGTTGTAAAACATGGCCATGTTGTGCATTTGCCTTGATCTGGGAATAGGTGGACTTATGCTCTCCAAGTGATGAATGGTTGGTATTGATGATGGGCCAAGCAGATAATGCAGAATTTAAGCGATTCCATATTCTTAGGAAAGCAGCAGCCTTAAGTATATTTCTCTGCCATTTTTCTAGAGAAACCCAGAGACAATGAGGCACAGTAAGGTGGCCACATTAAATTGCTTTCCTTCAGTCCATGATCCAGTAGAAAAGAGTGCTGGAATAAACAGTGGAGTAGCCACTGCTGATCACTATTTTGTCAAAGCAATAAGGCTAGTGATTGTTCTCATGAACTAAATATAAGAATAGAATAGAATAGAATAGAATAGAATAGAATAGAATAGAATAGAATAGAATAGAATAGAATAGAATATATACCATTTTAGACAAGTGACTGTCCAGTCTCTTCTTAAGAGAAGTTAACAAAATCAACTGGTGGATTGTCATGGCTTTTTTCCTGTCATCTATCAGCAGAAAAGAAAAAAAGCTATCTGATCATGAATCAGAACACAAAGGAAGAATATAAATGATAAATAAAATATGACCTGGGATTGATTTCTGAAAGATACCTACTATATGGGGAAAATTTGCAAAACTGAAACACTATAAAATAATGAGAAGTGAAAAAAAAAAAGATTCAACACCAAAATGCATAGGCAATGGTATCTATTCCAGTATCCATATGCCAAAAGCAATATCCAATGGTCAGGTGTGTCAAATTCTGCTGACAGGTCCAAAAGAATCAGCACTCTTATAAAGATTTGAACACGGTCACCAAAATATCATTCAGAATCTGATAAATTGCCAACTCAGTTGAATGACCCAGAGACAAAATACTGATTGATATGGATCAAGAAGACCATTAGAAGACAAAGAATTAATTCTGAGAGGGCAACCATTTCAAGAACTTTAGATGTTTGTAAGTCTGGTAAGCTGAGCACAAAAAGTGATCTAAAAAAAGCTTTGCTTCAATAAAGGGCCAAAAATAGTATGCTTAACAGAGTATGGGAATCTATCTGCAGTTGAAATGCACAGGAAATGGCTGAGATAAGACAAAAGGGGAAAAAAGATAGAAGAGTAGGATCAAATAACGAGAAAAAAGACTTAGAGGGCAAAATAGTATAAGGAGACTCCTCCATGGTTTCTTGAATCTCTTGTTTCCAGAACTGGGGTCAATAAAATGCAGATGGCATAAAAGAACATAGAAAAGGTGGTGAAGGAGAGCTTGGGGAAAGAAAAGAAGGAATAATATTAGATAAAATGATCCCAAGATCTTGGCTGAAGCAAAGGAGTTGAGAGAGAGATGTTTCCACATTCAGTGGAGGCTGGTACTTTACAGTTCTTATAAAAATGGTGACTGGGGCATGTTCATGATGCAGCTGATGAGACACAAGGAAGAGTAGAGTAGGGTAGGGTAGGGTAGGGTAGGGTACGGTAGAGTAGAGTAGAGTAGAGTAGAATAGAATAGAAAAGAATAGAATAGAATAGAATAGAATAGAATAGAATAGAATAGAATAGAATAGAATAGAATAGAATAGAATAGACCTTGGAGATCTTCTAGCTCAAGCAGGAGAACCTATACCATTTCAGATGACTATCCAGTCTCTTCTTAAAAACCTCCAGTGATGGAGCGCCCACAATTTATGAAGGCAAGCTGTTCCACTGGTTAATTGTCCTTACTGTTAATTGTCCTCACTCCTTAATTCCAGGTTGCTTCTGGTTTCCAACCATTGTTTCTTGTCTTGCTCTCTGGTGCTTTGGAGAATAATTTGACCACCTCTTATTTGTGGCAGCCCCTCAAATACTGGAATACTGCTATCGTGTCACCCTTGTTTCTTCTTTTCCATTCTTTTCTTTTAAAAAGTTTTTTTATTTATAATACAGTTAAAAAAAGTGGACATAACGTAATATTCCAGTGTAAGTATTTCTAACAATTTGTTCCTCTTCTTACATATAATTCTTTATCTCTATATATACATATATATTTTTCTATACAATATCTGCTTTATTTCTCTATTTACTTCTTTTCTTTAGACTAGCCAAACCCAAGTCCCACAGCCGTTCTTCATAAGTTTTAGTCTCCAGGCCTCTGATCATCTTGTTGCTCTTCTCTGAATTTTTTTCCAAAGTCTCAACATCTTTTTTGTAGTACCGTGACCAAAATTTGTTGCAGTATTCCAGGTAAGGTCTCAATAGGGTTTTATAAAGCTTAGCAAAAGGAGTCTTAAACGTCTGATTTCCTGGAAGTGTTGGTGTTCACAGCAAGATCACTAGTTCAGAAAGAAATTTCTCGATTTTCTCAGATACAGGTACAGCTGTCTCTAGTTCCAAAAGGCCAAAACCTTAGTATCTCTCTGAAGATGAAAGAAATGTCCAGGATAAAACTGAGCTGAAGTTTATCTAGAGCTACAGTGTAAGGGCACATTATAGCAGCCAACACAGCTAAGAAAGGAAAAGATATCCCACAGTTTTTTACTATTAGAGTCATACCATACTGAGCATTTTTGAATTACCTGGTGGCTTAAATACAAACCACTTCAGTCCTCTAACTTCTCTTTAGATTAACTAATGTAACAAGATTTAATTGAATTATTTGAATACCCTTCCCATCCTGTCTCCAAATTAGAAACTTGCCGCATTTTCACCTTCAAGTGTGGGATGTGAGCTTGCCTTTTCTCTCTCTCATTTTTTAAAAAAGAAAATGTAACCCTGTTTCCTATTTTTGGCATTCGCTGACATCAGGAAACAATCATCTTGAGCATCCAAGATTGTTTTGTCCCAAAGCATTTTCTGGCTTTTCTATTTCTGCCTAAAGCCAGACTTTCTCAAGCATTGTTGATGGTACCAGATAGATTAAAATAACCAAAGCCCTGAGCCCAAACATCATTTAAATTTGCTGGCCAAGCTTTCCATTAAAATACCATCGCTCTAATTTAAAACATCCTTTTTCAATTTGCATTCTGTACCACTCATCATTATTTTTCTGCTTATTTTAATTTGCATTTTATTTTTTTGTTTTGTTTTGCATTTGGCATGGGCTTGCTAATCTCCACAAGTAAAATCATTTAAATTTTCTTGTGGATTTTTAAGAAGAGATTGAACAACCATTTGTCTGAAATGTTATAAGGTTTCCTGCCTGAGCAGGGGGTCAGACTAGAAGACCTCCAAGGTCCCTTTCAACTATTCTATTCTATTCTATTCTATTCTATTCTATTCTATTCTATTCTATTCTATTCTATTCTAAATAAAGAACAGAAACTTCATAAATATGAGCCAGTTACCACATGGCTGAATTTTGATCACGTGATCTTGGAGATGTTGCAATGGTTATAAGTGTGAAAAATAATCATAAATCATTTTTAGTGCTGTTGTAACTTTGAATGGTCAGTATACAAACTGTTTATAACTCAAGGACTTCCTGTATGTTTACTTGCAAAACGAATAGCGCCTAAAGTTGCTGAGTATATGTCAGAATGTCAAGCATCTTGGTTAAAATGCAATCATGCCAATCCAGTCATTATTGTTATGGTTTTCTTTTTCTGCAACTGGAAATTTTCAGGGCCATATTATTATTAACCTAGGTCAAACAACCTTTTACAGAGACACAAATTCATAGAACAGGAAGGAGACTAGAGATTTTGCAAGGAACAGGTGCTGGGTTCTATCCTGGCATCTGCCAAGTAGGGTTGAAAAACTCTTCCCTAGAATTTGATAGCATTGCCTTAGAAAATGACTCTGTGGCTTAAGTTGATGTGAGCCAGCTTCCCCTTAGCAGAGATTGAAAAGCTCTGATTTATAGCATCAAGGGGAAGGCATCCTTTGTCTGTCAAAGTCTGTGTTCATTCAGAGTAATCTAACAGTGGAAGAAGCTGGGCAGGGGTAGATTTAAAAAATCAACAATTTCAGCTATTTTAGTCTACCCTATTAAAAATAGTGAGGGGGATTAGTTCTGTGCCCTAATCATGTCTACGACAATAAAGTAGGCAAGGAAACAGAGTAAACTCCACAAGATGGATTAGAAAGAGAGAAGACCACAGACAGAGAAGAAATTGAAGCAAAGCAAATAAGAGATTTTAGCCTTCTTCATAAAGATTGAACGCAAGAGTGGAATGAACTCAGTTCACCAAAGACATTCTCTTTGAAGCCTGCTCTTCATCAAATCAACCACCATTTCACAAGTATAGCTGAACATACATCTTGTCTTAAATTTTGGTTTCTTGACGTCTTCATCAGCATTAAGCACCCAAGCTAAGACATGAAATAAATAAATGCACAATAAGCTTATGTCATGGAATATCCTGCAATCTGTATAATGCTGTTTGGGCCTGTATATGTATTAAACTAAAATTAAAAAGATAATAACATGATGTAAAACATATACAGACATTTTCTGCTATCTTGAGTAAAACATTAAACCCCGAGGCAGCAAAATAATAACTAAAATGAACAATCTCATGGTTTCAGATGACTCTATTGATTCCACCCTGGGGTATATCTTTTTTTCTGTATCTCAACATGTCTGGATAACTAGATTATAAGTGAAGTACAGGCTGGGAAACCTATATGTGGGACAAGACAAGACAAAAATGCACAAGTGATGGATCACCAGAAGCATTTTGAGTTTAGAACGAGCCTTCAAATCCTTGAAATAAACACCCTATTAACCATGTGTGATGGTCATATGCACTACCAAAGCTGACATCAGAGTATAGAAAGAACTCAAAGAAGTATCATGTTTCCCCAAAAATAAGACGCAGCCGGAAAATAAGTCCTGGTATGATTTTTCAGGACACTCATAATAAAAGTCCCAAACCAAAAATTTGTTGCCAGATGGACGCATTTAGTACCGTATTTTCCCAAATATAAGCTCTACTTTTTGAAGCAAAAATTAATATAAAGACCTGGTCTTATTTTCCAGGAAACATGGTAGTGCAAGATCAGAAGATGTGGAGAGACCTGGCGCATAAAATCATCAAGAGTCAAGACTCAAGACATGACTGAATGGACATCATCATGATCATCATTGCAGACATGTGAACATCTGCCTCGCTTATTGCTCATTTTCTTCCAGCCATGGCTGGCTTAAGGTAAAACCAAGATTTACTGAAGTGAAGTTTGATGTGGGGAGGAGACCATATTGGTAGGCCAGATGGTAAAATTATATGGGCCAGAGATAGCGTGTGAAGAAGCAATTCACTGTCCTTCTTTAACAGTGCTAGAATTCAAGGTTGGTTCAAAAGAGTCTCACTTGATGCAAAACGGTCTCCAACACAAGAAGATGGAAATAGGATGGTGTCATTAGACCAGGGGTCTTCAAACTTAGCCTTTTTATGACTTGTGGATTTCAACTCCCAGAATTCCTCAGCCAACATTCTGGGAGTTGAAGTCCACAAGTCATAAAAGGGCCAAGTTTGAAGACCCTTGCATTAGACCAACCCCCAAGTGTATTTGTTGAATTGAAATGTTGAAATAGCATGCTGGCATGGCTACTTAAATTCTCAGATTCCACATTTGCCAAAATTCTGGCAATGGGACAGGAAAGAACTGCCTGTCCTGTAGTTCTGACAAATATGTTAGATGTTGAACAAGCCTTTCAGCTAAAAGACCATAAACTATTTCTTTATTACAGAAATATGAGATTGAAATAAGCTCAGCTGTCATTACTTTCTGAGGTAATTGGGCTTGTGCAAAACAAATGACAATAGAAAAGTGTGGAAATTTATAGGAACCGGCAGTATACAATCATGGAAAATGTTGATATATTTTTTTTTTTTGAGAGGCAAAACAGACCCTTTTCATCACCTCATCATAAAACTCTCAAGGGCGCAGCAATGCTTCTGTGAGGATACAATCCATGCCTTTCTTTTGCATTTTATAATGAAGTTGCAACAAAAAATTGAACTTTACAAACAAAATCCAGGGAGGTGGTAGCAATGTAAGAAAAGGCAGAGGTATGCTTCTTTTGGGAAAACAAATACTTAAATACAGTTTCACTTTTATAAATTCTTTAAAAAATTTTGATCTAATAATTTAACCTGGAGGGCTGAATCACTCTATAAAAGTGCAACACATTTGCTAATAAAAGTGAACATTCACTCTTAAGCATAAAGTGAAATACCCTTGGAATTAAGTTTGAATTAAGTTGAATTAAATTTTTGAATTAAAATTAAATTTTCTTTTCAAGAGAGTTAAGGGTTAGTATGATTTTGGTTATTGTATAATTAGTAAACTTAAATAGATTATGTTTAATATGTTTGTATAACCCTGTACTTGGCTCTGGGAAGTGGGGGTGGGCGGGGGCGGGGGTGGGGTGGGGGGGATGGGTTGAAGGTTAAATAGCTCAGATAAGTAGAAATAGTTTTATTGTATATAATATTGATGTTTCAGTTTGGAGAGAGGAATTGCTCGGGCATTTCCCCTGGACCGCATCCGGAGTGAGAAGATAGGAGGAAGGGGAGAAGTAAGTAGGAAGGTTGAGGAGAAGGAGGAGAGGGGGAGAGTGAGGAAGAAGAGGGAAAGAGAGAAGTGACAGAAGAGGTTAGAGGTGGATGCGGTTTCGGGGGAAATGGGTGAGCAATACTGAAAGTTTTGTGTATAAATTTATTTTATTCTTTATCTGATGTATTTTTTTATAAATGTAATGTAAAATTGAATTTTTTTTTTTTAAAAAAATTAAATTTTCTTGCAGTGATATAAAAGAAGCTTGTCATTCTCCATGGTCCCTGGAATTACTTGATGGTCTCCCTTTCAAATACTAACCAGGTTTGATTTTACTTAGCTTCTAAAGGTCTAGGTAGACACTGCCCCCTACTGTAGCCTAAAGGTAGCAAAGACCTCAAGTAAAACTCAACTGCTGATGACTTCATGGGTCATTGGCTTTCCTATCTAGTTACTTCTTAAACAGGGTTGGTGCTGTTATTTTTGAACAATTATGACAGTAAGACTGGATTTAGTTTTGGGTCCCTACCTTGTCGACTAGATAAACCCTACAAATTTGAGTAGTGCCAAGCTACAACCAAATACCATGTTTCACACAAGTAGTACAGGCATGCCTAGATGCTAAATGTTTTTAATTGTGTAAATTTGATAAGTTGACAAGTTAACAAATCAGGACGCCTTTTAACTTTCCTAATTTGAAAAACATGAATGCTTGGTATGGAAGACTCACGCATCTCATGCCAATAGGGATCTGCAAACTTGCCTGTCCATTTGAGAGTTGCCAATGACTTCATCATGGATTTCTTAAAAGCAAAGCTTCAGAATTAAATATTGCAATTTAATGTTAGAAGCTGATTTATTTACTTTGGGTGCAAAGCAATGAAAGTTTGTTTCTAATAGTTTAGAAGGTATTTTTAAGAGTTTGAGTTGGTTGGTTGAGTTTGGTTGGCCTCAAGAAGAACTGTTCCCAGATCACTTTTCCTTAAGCTCAGTCAATAATTAACTTATTGTAGTAAATATGTATAATAAATTAAAGCTGTCAACTGCTCATTTATAAGTGAGAGTGGTCTTTCAGATGTATTGCACTCCAACAGATGTGAGCATCTTGCATTATAAAGTTAAGAAAAACTGAGGTCCAGCAAACATCTAGAAGTTGGCTATCTGAGCAATAGCAAGTAATTTTCCAAATGGGATACACTTCCGTGAACACACAGACACACACATACATATACACACCCACACACAAACATGCACTGAGAGACACATCAAGATAAAGATGTGTCTGGTTTCAATAGGCCATGCATTTTCCACTCTGCTTTTGATTTGGATGAAATCTCTGATACTTTTTCTCAATAAACCAGCATCTGTCTTAAAACATACATGTCCCAATACATTTGCATTAAGTTGTGACCAAATCTCACTAAAATTAGAGGGAAAAGTCTGCTGTAACCATCTCAAACCTTATTGCTTTAACATAAGTGCTACTTAGAATGTTGTACTGTTTTATCTGTGCAAACCATTGATTTATTTTTGAAACACTTAGCAGTGGAAAACTCTTCAGGGGGATATTTTAATGCAATTAATCCAGGGGGTCTTTTTTTTAGATTTCTACAGGTCTTCAAATGGCACATAATGGATGCTACAGTCATTTAAAGTCATGGGTAATGCTTCTCGGCAAGATTTAGTGTAAGGATCACAATCCAGATTAATTTATTGTATGGGAGCATTTATTTAGCCCCTGTTTATCCAAGGATGTGCCGAATTAATCTGATGCAAAGATAAAGAAGTCAGGCTGATATTTTTTGATAGTTCAGAAATGGTGGTATCTTAACTGAGTGTGTTAGTATTGCAAACAAAGACATTGTGGTACATACTATATATTATCACTTAAATCCCACACATACTGAAGTAGAAACAAATCAAACCTGTATTATAATAAACCTAACATCTATGTCCATATCATGCATGTCTAAATTTTTCAAGAATTTTATTGCATGCCGGCCAGTGTGTGAGATGTGGCTGTATACATTTGATAAATAAATCAATAAATAAAATGACTGCAGGTAGTCCTCAATTTACAACAATCCACTTATTGAACATTCGAAGTTACGACGACCCAGGAAAAGTGACTTATGACCATTTTTCACACTTATGACCGTTGCAGCCTCCCCATGGTCATGTGATTTACATTCAGACGCTTAACAATGGACTCATGTTAATGACGGTTGCAGTGTCCCGAGGTCATGTGATCCCCTTTTGCGACCTTCTAACAAGCAGAGTCAATACGGAAACCAGATTCACTTAACAACAATGTTAAGAAAAGTCGTAAAATGGGGCAAAATTTTCTTAACAAATTTCTCACTTAGCAACATAAATTTTGGGCTCAGTTGTGGTCGTATGTTGAGGATTACCTGTATTTTATATATGGAAACATCTGACTTTTTTAAAAAACAAAAAAAAAGAGATAGGCTGCATATGTGAGGTTATACATGGACTGCATCGAATTTGTTAAAAATGTTCTTCTTGAGTGATTAACTTGAAATTGGTTCCTACAGTGTCAAAGCTAAGCAAGTTCTCCTTCATCTGCTGATCTCCCCAGCAGAACAGCCATTGAGGAAAGTTGAACTGCATCTTAGATAACAGTTGACTGCAATGTAATTTGCAAATTAGAAGTGTTTTAAATAAGCTATTCACCTTCATTCCTGGTAGAATAATACTGGAGCAGCTACTTGGGGAACTTTTTTTTTAAAAAAATACAAGAACAGTTAACCAATTAATTTATAGTGTAACAGTTTAAGCTTTCCTTAGATCAGTGTTTCTCAACCTGTGGGTCGGGACCCCATTTGGGGTCGAACGACCATTTCACGGGGGTCGCCAAACAAGGCTGTCCGCCATTTTTTCCCCTTTTCTTGGGCCACGCCCCTGGCACCTGGTGATGTATAAGTGGTTGGGGGTCACCACAACATGGGGAACTGTATCATGGGGTCGCATGATTAGAAAGGTTGAGAACCACTGCCTTAGATTAAGTTTGGGCTTGCAAATGTCAGAAACTTCTAGCTTAGTGTGAAATTTTAACTCATTTAATCATTATTTCTTTACATAAAGGTAGATTCTATAACACAAGAGAGACAGCATGGACTCTATTTCTTACAAATGCTTAATACCAAAAATAGGCCCTTTGATTTTATTGGTAAAATATCAACATGAATAGAATTATTGTGTAAGATAGAAATTACTATGTAAAATATTAGTTTTACATAAATAAGTAATACTAATGGAGCAATCTCTGAGACATAGTAGTTGCAAAGGAAGTTTGTTTAAAGCCTTAGACATCCACAAGCAAATGTTGTGCTCCACCATAAATTCAACACTTTTCCCAAAACATGCATTATCTTCTGTTGTATATAATTTAGGGGAAAGAATCTACTTCCTCTGAGAAAAACTCCTTTCTAAAGCAGGAAAAACTTCACTAGCATTGCTCTACTTTAAAAAAACAAATGGAAAATGAGGCCAGAAAGAAAAAAAAAGAAAAGATAAGCACTTCTCTATAATAACACGGAAGTGATAGTTTTCTAAGTGCAGATGATTTTTTTTAAAATGGAACATTCATTGTCAGTTATTTATTGAAGTCTAAAATCCACATGTTTGCCACTACGGATAAGAGCTCAGCTCAAATAAGGCTATTATCAGGCCAGTTCATGTAAACAGAACAATCCAAATCTAGTTAGGACTACACCCGGTGTTGCGTCCTTGGCGGGAAAACAGACACGAGAAGCAGCTGGAGTTCTCAGTTTCTTTTATTCAGCGTTCAGCTTACAGGAAGATGGCTTCAGCCTCGCCCAAACGCCTCGCAGCCTCTTATATAGGCAACTCCCGGGTAAATGGGTTACTTTTCCCGCGCCAGCACCCGCGCATGCGCACGGCGCTGGCGACAGCCTGTCTGGTCCCGGGCAGCTTTGCACCTGCCCGGGACTGCCTGCAAACGCCCGAGCCGTTTGCAAAGGCTCGGGACATAACACCCCTTTCCCCCGGGCTAAAACTACTACCAACATACAACATTTATTTTATATGACATTTTGCTCCCCAGTGCTCCCACTGTTTACTGGCCTTTGCCTTGCCAGCAATGTTATGTAGTCTTCTAGGTACTTAGGAGATTTCTTTGCTCTCTGTGACCTTCTTAGCTGTGGGTTACTGGCATAAGTCCCCTGACTGGAGGGAGGCGTGAGCCTGTTCTCTCTATTGTGCCCTGGTGTCTTCCAAGGACTGTGCCCCGATGCCTGGCCTGCTTGCTTGCCCACCGGGCTCGTCAGGCCAGGGCTTCTGTTACTTTGTGACCTGGTTGACCTACCTAGCTGTAGACCCTCAGGCCCCTTGAAGTGATAGCCGCTGCTGGGCGTCTCTGTAGAACCTCCTAGGTCAGTCCAAGACCTGTCAGGAGGCTGTTCATTCCCTGAACCCCATTCTGTGCTCGGGCTCGTGTGGGTTTCTGTACTTTCCCAAAACTCAGGTGTTCCCTGATTTGTGCTAGGGTTGTTGTAGTCGGGACTTGGTTCCTCGACTAGCTCTGTGTATGTTTGACCCCCTGTAGGATTTGGGGTAAGGTCAGGCCAACTTTGGGGATTGTGTGCCAGCTCTCTTGCGGGGAATGATTTGTTGGGATGCCCCCGGGTATCCTCCGTGACTGGAGTGCTGTGTGACGTGTGTGGAACGTGAGTATGCCCCCGGGGTGACTCCCTGGCTGGAGTAGGCGTGAGTGCCTGTTGTGTGGGTAAGCTCCATGACTTCCTTTTCGGAGCAATTGCGGAATCTGGGGACGGGCCGTTTGTGGCTCCCTCAGTGGAGATGGGCAGTAACTCTTGCCCTTCCCTTTGCTCCAAAGGGTCCCCCTCCCCCCCTGGAAAAGACCCAGGAGTCTCAGCAGAAAAGTCTCGCCTAGAGCGAAGTTGGTCGATGTGCCGACGTAGGACACGACCGTTGTCCAGGGCAACCTCGTAGGAGAGAGGACCTGTGATCCTGGACACAGAAGCGGGGACCCATGTATGACCAGGCCCGTAATTGCGAGCCCAAACCGGGGCACCCACAAGTAGTTGTCTAGGTGCCCTAGGATGTGAGGTAGATGAAGGCAGTCTGTCCGGATGCAACCGGTCAAGTCTAGTAGTAAGTTGGCGCCCCCAACGAAGTTCAGCTGGACTTCTCCCTGTAGAAGTGGACGGTGTGGTGCGATAAGAAAGGAGAAAGTCAGCCAACCTGTGATGCCAGTCCCCGTAGGTGAGTCTCTTCAAGGCGTCCTTTGCGATGCGCACCATGCGTTCAGCCATACCGTT